TTTCCCTACTTTTTTCTCTTCCCCAACCCCTGCATTTATATTTAGCCTCTTTTGGTTAGAGCTGTCCAGTCACATCAAGTTCTCTATTTATTGACCTTTATCCTTGCACTTTACTACAATATTTATTGTAATAAATATTCTACAATTCTGTTGTATTGTAATATTCCCTGCACAGTCTCCAGGCACTGGGGTAGGGGTTTGACTGCAATACTTGGCTAGCCTGATACAGTTGAAAATCATCACATACTGATAATTATTTTTCTTCTGTTCATTTGTGTCCAATTCTTGGAGACTGCCTTGACAAATCTCTGCAATTTTCTTGTAAGGTTTTTCAGAAGTCATTTTCTATTTCCTGCTTCCCAGGGCTGAGAGAAAGTGACTGATTCAAGGCCATGCTGCTGCCTAAGGGAGACTAGAACGCATGCTCTCCCATTTTCTAGTCTGATGCCTAACTACTACACCAAACTGGCTCTCTATACTAATGATAACTGACTCCAAACCAGTGGATGACCTCACTCAGTGATTTCATCTAGATATTAAAAAGAAGAGGAAAGAGCATTGAATCCTGTAATGCCCTACAAGTAAGAACCTATGGGCATGCTTTCTCCTCAACTGTCAGTACTGGCCACAGAAAAAAGGATAACCACTGTAAAATGGTGCCTGTCACTCCTGAATTTGGTCCAAAAGTATATTGTGATTAATGGTATCGAAAGCTGCTGAGAAATCAAGGAGCATCAGAATGAACACACCACCTCCATCCTGGTTCTGATACAGTTCATTAACCAGTCATCAGCCAGTGCAACTAATGTCTCTGTGCTGAACTCTGGCCTAAAACCCAACTGGAATGACTCCCAATAATGAACTTCTGCCAGGGTTCTCTAAAGCTGAAGCCCAATTAACTTCTTTGTTAATGGAGACAGCATAGCAAATTCCAGGATCTAGTCTAGTAATAACTTATTGAAGAGAGGGTACATTACAGGACCGACACTTCACTGAAGAAAGCCAACATCA